TACTACACAGAAAAAAAAGATTCCTTTCAAAATATTACTGCTTATTGATAATGCAAGTGGTCACCCGAGCTCTGATGGAGATTATACAAGATTAATATTTTCATGCCTGCTAACACAACATACATTCTGCAGCCAATGGATCAAGGGGTAATTTTAACTTTTAAGACTTACTACTTAAGAAATACATGTTGTAAGGCTGTAGGTGACAGAAATAGTGATTCCTCTAGTGAATCTGGGCCAAGTAAATTGAAAACCTTCTGGAAAGAATTCACCATTCTAGATGCCATTCAGAACTTTTGTGATTCATAGGAAGAAGTCAAAATAGCAACATGAACAGAAGTTTGGAAGACACTCATCGCAACCTTCCTGGATGACTCTAAGTGGTTCAAGACTTCAGTGGAGAAAGTAATTACAGATGGGGTGGAAATAACAAGAGAAATAGAATTAGAAGTGGAGACTGGAGATGTGACTGAATTGCTGCCACTTCATGATACAACTTGAACACATGAGGAGTTGCTTCTTACGGATGAGCAAAGAAAGTGGTCTCTTGGAATGGAATCTACTCCTGATAAAGGTGCTGTGAAGACTGTTGAAATGTCAACAAAAGATTTAGATATTACATAAACTTAGTTGATAGAGCAGCAGCAGAGTTTAAGAGGACTGACTCCAATTTTGATAGAAGTTCTGTATTTTACTGTGAGTAAAATACTATCAAACAGCATCGCATGCCACAGAGCAATAGTTCATGAAAAGAAGAGTCAATTGATGTGGTAAACGTAATTGTTTTCTTGTTTTAAGAAATTGCCACAGCCATCCTAACCTTCAGCAGTCACCACCCTGGTCAGTCAGCAGCCATCAACACTGAAGCAAGACACTCCACCAGCAAAACAAATTATGACTCGCTGAAGGCTCAAATGATAGTTAACATTTTTTAGCAATAAAGTATTTTTTAATCATTATGTACATTTTTTTAGACATAATGCTATTATTGCACACTTAATAGACTACAGTATAGTGTAAACATAACTTGTATTGGCAATGGGAAACCAAAAGATTTATGTGACTCACTTTACAGGCATACCTCGGAGATACTGCAGGTTCAGTTCCAGAATCACTGCTATAAAGTGAGTATCACAATAAAGCAAGTAGTAATCTTTTTGCTGGTGGAGGGTCTTGCCTTTAATTTGTAAAAAATGCAACATTTGTGAAGCACAAAAAAGAGAAGTGCAATAAAATAGTATGCCTGTAGTACAATATTTACTTTATTGTGGTGCTGTGGAAATGAACACACAATACTGCCAAGGTATGCTTGTATCTTGTTCTATGATCTGTGTCTATTCTTAAGCCAACACCACTATGTCTTCATTGTTGTAGCTTTATAGTAAGTCCTGAAATCAGGTAAGGTGAGTCCTCCAAGTTTGTTTTTCTCCAGTATTCGGTATCCTAGGTCTGTTGCTCCTTCATATAAACATTGGAACCAGTTTGTTGATAACTGCAAAATAGCTGGCTGGACTTTGATTAGGATTGTATTGAATCTATAAAGTTGGGAGGTACTGACATTTTAACAATATCGAGTTTTTCAATCTGTGGATGTGAAAGACCTATCCATTTAGTATTTAGATTTTTGATTTCTTTTATCTTTTATGTAGTTTTCCCCTACAGATGCTATACATATTTTGTTAGAGTTATGCCTCAATATTTCATTATTTTAGGTGTTACTATAAATGGTAATGTTTTTAAAATTTCAAATTCCATTTGTTCACTGCTGGTATGTAGGGAAGCAACTGACTATAGCATATTGACCATGTATCCTGTGACTTTGCTATACTAGCACATTAGTTCTGGGAAGTTTTTTTGTAGATTCTTTGGGATTTTCTACACAGATAATCATTCACCTGTGGATAAAGGCAGTTTTATTTTTACTCTTCCTTTTCTTGTCTCATTGCTTTAGAACTTCCAATACAATGTTAGTTAAATATGAGTGGTGCAAGGGGACATAATAAGCAATGATTGATGTTTACAATGATGATTTGTGATTATCAGATCCAAAGTGAAGACAAATTATTTTTATGTTATCTATGTTCTACTGTCCTTCATCAAGGTATAGTGAAGAGTTACTTATGTTTACTGCATTTTTCTTCTTTCAAACTCTGCCACTATGGGAAAAATAAACCTCATGGGCTAATAAGTATGTCATTAAAAAATACATTTAAAAATAATTTTTAATTTATGAATTTCTTGACTTTCAAAATTTATAAAAATATAACTTTCAAAACTTACCATGTACTAAACTATTGGCAGGTGCTACAAGAGTATCCCACAAACATATGTTTCTGGAAATAAAACAGATTACTTCTTGAGTAACACAAAACATTAACAGAATTAAAAGTATGTCTCATACAGTTACATAACATTTGAACCCTGCTCTCACAGAAAGTTCTTAAATTTATAGAAGCACCTAATACAAGTAACAAATATATTTAGGTATGATTAATTTTTACAGAAAATTTAAAAAACTACACTCTCATAAAACTGAATAATTTAAGAATAAGTTATTCTTCTTACCAATAATACTATATGAAGCCTGAAGATGGAAGCTACTTTTTATATTCATTTATTCTCTAACAGTAAGGCTGACATATTCAAATAGAAGGATTTTCTGGAGCACAAAGAAAACTTATTTTTGCTATAAATGAGAGCAGCTTTTATTCTTTTGAGTTGCAAAGGAGGTACCAAGATATGTAAGAATTTCTATGGAAGATAGGCTAAAAACTCCATATTCCTACAAGTCCATTTCTAGGGCAAAGTGTGACCTCACAGATAAACATAAAAGCTCAACAACCTCAGTTGGCTTTAATCTCACAACTCAGCTATAGGAAGGAAGGCAAGTTAGGGATGTGGAGACAGAGGCAGGAGGAGACATTTTCTTGCATATTGAAGATTTTTGATGGGATGGGGACAGGTTGCCAATTACTACTATTGTACAACTAACAAGTCTTTCTGAATTTCCTGTTATCTTTTTGTGAAAGTGATCATAACTAATAGAGCCATGGTGAGGATTAACTAAATAGCATGGCCAATAAATAGTTGTTTGGTTTTTTTGCCTCTATCTTTTCTTAATACACCGAAAATAATATGAAAAAAATTAATTCCACCATCAATCAAATCCCTTTCTCCTATACTAAAGTCTTAACATTAGAATATTCAAAATATAAAAGAAATGGGTTGTTTTTAATGGCACTAGAATATCCTTAAATTTACAATAAGAATACTAGTAATACTAGTAATGCCCTAGAAACAATTTTTATAATAGAAGTATTTAAAGGCATGGTTATGAAAAAATTGAGACATAAGGACATAAAGCAATTAAAAATAAAGCTCAACGACATATATACACACTTCAATTTTAGTTATAATCTCTTACCTATTGTCAGTTGAAAGACCAGCTGTAGCTATCAGAGAGGAGGAACTAATGAAGACAAAATCATTGGCTGTTTTGTTATGACACTGCCAAGTCTGGAATGGGTTACAAACAAAAAACATTAATGTCGTCATTAACAATTTTATAACTAGGTAGATACATTAATCAAAAAGTGATTAGGTAATCTGTTTTTTTTCCCCCTGAACTTTAGAAAAGTTTCAAGGGTAATATACAAAGAACGCTCATACACCCTTTACCCAGATTTACCAATTTTTAACATTTGCTATATTTGTTTTGCCTTTCTTTCTTACACACTTTTCCTGAACCATTTAAATAAGCTGCATACGTCATGATCCTTTAGGAGACCTTTTGCTTTCATTCAACCAAAAGTTCAAAGGGAAACAAAAGGAAGTTAAACTCTAAATATCTCCCTCAGAACATGTGTGAAAATTTTTGTCTTAGAAGGCAGAAACTAGGATTTTAGATTCTTAGGTGAAATTATTTTCAGAAATATTCAAACTTTTAAATAATTTTTCAAATATGTGAATAAAAACATATTACATATCAACAAAAATTTAAAAATTACAATGTTTTTCAATATTTCACCAAACAATAACTTAAAATATTATGAGTTTAGTCAATTATAAAGACTTTTAAGGTATATTTATTCAGATGTTTCTCTTTAATAAAAAATGACTTTTTAAAGTATGTTAAAATCATCACATGAAAGATTTTTCTTTTGAGTCACTTCCCCATTCCCCCTACCCCTTTTGAAAATAAGTCCTTAAAACAAACAAAATCTACTTTAATGCCCCAAAACCAATAATGTAAATTTTTAATCCAATTTATCTCTTTAGAAATTAAATAACAAAAGACAGTCCTTTAGGGAACATAAACTTGTATATTTAAATATGTTGGCCTAATGAAAATTTGAGTAAAAATAAATATTCTTTCAAGGTACCCTCATCAACCCTCCCTAGTTTACTTTCATTCAGATTAGTACTACCTGCCAGCATTTAATCTTGGATAAATTACCAGAATCTTAAGTCATATTCTTAATTTTTTCTTGGTAGGTATTGTTTAGTCTTATAAAGGGCTTCACCAAAGAATATATTAAATACAAATTCAGTGTTCTGTGAAGCTATAGAAGGTTCATTAAGCCTGTGTGATCCTGAATAGAAATGGATCTTTTTATTTTTTTTAAGAGATGGGCAGAAAATAATAGTACCAGCTCCAGGATATGCTTTCTACTTTGTTTGTTCATAAGGGATAGCTGAAAAAAACCAATGAGGTACACTGGTCTGCTCATTCTTTTTAGATATAATACCCACTGCAGCTTTGTACGGCTGGAAAAGGGCTTGAGTAACTCACAGGTTGCATGGGTCTCTGGAGGTACATGTTGGTTCTATACAGGTTAATTTTCCAAGTTACCAGAGATTTTTATACCTCGCAAGGTAATTTTCACATAATAGGGGCTTATAGTAAACTGAATACATAGGACTAGATAGATTTTATTTTTTGGCTTTAATATTTCTTGCCTCAAATATATATTCTCCATATCTTTAAAACAAATATTCAAAAATTTTAAAATTAGGAATTCTTGGCTTACCAAGTATGGCTTAGGCATGCTTCCAGTAACTGGACAACATTTCCAGTTTGTTTGATACAAACTTAAATATCCATCGGCATCAGCTATTCCAAACTTAAGAGAAAAAAAGTATTTAAAAATGTTTAATACAAAAGCACATATTTACCCTACTGTCAATCCCATATTTTGATCTTAAATATTTGACTGATAAATTGTTTGACTTTTCACTTCACCTATATGTGAATCTAGTCCAGAAAAACATTTAGCTACTGCTTAAAACATTTCCAGGGTAGACGTAAAGGAAACAAACATCAGACACCCATTTTATTATACTAACCAACAGCATAATCTGTATGTTCTCCATAAGTACTCCAAAAATAGAATACTGGATTTACACATTAAGCTATGTGAGAAAGTTTTAGCATATGTAAGATAGAAACTGTTCATTTTGAAAAAGACAAAATAAGGACTTTCAGAAATATACAATAAGGAAAACATGTAAAGAACAGTAGAAAGTAAAATGAAACAAAGATTATCACAGTAAAAGAATTCAACTGTGGGAACTCAAGGCAATTTGATTGGGAAGATGTCAAATAATCCAGTAAGGGAGTATATGATACAGATCTTGAAGGATGAATAATACTGTTAACATTTTTTTTTCTTTAGATTATAAAAATAATATATGCTTATATAAAGTATATAAAATAAAACAAATGTTTACTTTGAACTCTTACCCTCTCCCATTTCCAGATTTCATAACTATTAAAAATTTGATTGGTTTCCTCTGAGATTTGTTCTATGAATATTCAAACATTCACATACAGGTTTTTTTTTAAAATTAGGATGATAATGAATACACAGTTCCACAATTACATTTTTATCTTATTATAGCCATCTTTCCAACACTTGTACATATAAATATACCTCATTCTTGTGTTGTATAGTATTACACTGTATAGCTGTATTATAACTATTTTAAACTTTTTCCTTATAATGTCCAATTTTCCCTACTATAAAAAGTACTGCTTGGAACATTCTTATACATATACCTTTGAGTATTTATGTAGAACAGATTATCTAGAAATGGGAAAGCTTTGTCAAAGGGCATCATTTAAAATTTGTAGATGAAGACAAGATTAAATCCTAAAAGGTAATATCAATTTACACATCCAATTTTCTTACACATTAGTCAACACTGCATATTACTAAAATTTTAAATATTTGTCAATTTATAGAAAAAAGGCTCATTTTAATGTATATTCCTTCAATAATTAGTAAATGGTTATTGGCCATGCAGTCTTTTTTATAAATTGATTGTCTACTTCTCTATTAAGTTGTCATTTAAAAAATGATTGATAGGGCTAATATTAGGAATATTATCTAATTGTTTACTATATTTGTTACAGATATTTTTCCAGGGACTACCCTTTTTGTGATTTATCTTATGTTTTCTATAGTAGATCTAGGTGCGTTCTTCAGAAAGGGTATATGGAATGTGTTAAGTCTGCATATTTACAAATGTGTTTATTTTGCCATTCAATTTGAATAACAGTTTGGATAGAGACTCATAGTTCCATTCCTCGTCCATCAGAATTCTGTGAGTCTTGTTCTATTTGTTACCTCTGTTTTTGAGTAGGCCAAAGCCATTAATTTTGAAGAGGATGGTGGAGCAATTGTTAAGTAACCATTTTTATCCCTACTCCTTCCTAGAAGCTTTATTTTTGAATTAAAAAAAAATTAAATAATCAGGATATATCTAGCCATGTGTTGTTTCTCAGTACTTCTGCCTAGTACTTGGTAGGCCCTTCCGTTTCTAAAATTCTAGTTTTTTCTTTGCTTTGGGAAAAATCTTTATTTTACTATTCTTTTTTTTTAATTAAAGTTTATTGCGATGACAACTGTTAGTAAAGTTACATAGGTTTCAGGTATACAATTCTGCAATACAATTCTTTATATCACATTGTGTGTTCACCACCCAGCGTCAGTTCTCCTTCTATCACCATATTTGATCCGGTTTACCCTCATCTACCACCCTCCCCTCTCCCTTACTCTCTGGTAACCACTAAACTATTATCTGTATCTATGAGTTTTTGTTTCTTTATATGTTTGTCTTGTTCCTTTGTTGTTTTCAGTTTTATATCCCACATATCAATGAAATGACATGGGGCAACTACTCAGTTATAAGGGCTGAATA